AGACAGAGAATCTTCATGTATGCAATAAAAAACTTCAGTGATACAATTTCTCAGTCTTCTTTCTCAAATGGATGCAACATGACATTGATATAAACCACATAAAAAGGTCAGAATGCATCCTTGATTTTCAGTGGTTGTTGTATAATATATGCACTGCCTGAAATTGAGAATCTGTTCACACTCGTGTGAGGCGGAATAGAAATACAGTAACTAATGGGCTCATTAAGGAGATGGAGCCTGAATGTGCCCAGGAAAGGTCACCGCAAAGCATGACTTACTGGAGTTGTAAGAGCTGTCCCCATCGGAAACTGTTCTAATGAAACAGGGCCGGGAAACACAATGGTATCAACACTGCAGTACCCGATACAGTGTAAACATGGAGCAATATTAACATGGTATTATAGTGACTGGAAAGCTTTACCCAAGTTACAATACATTTCGTTTAATTAGAGGGAATCAAACACTAACACCCATCTCTTCGGTACAAGTTCCAACCAAAAGACCAATATGTGTGTTGACACTATTTTTGAAAGTTTGCCCTCTAGTAATTTGCTCACAGGAACCATCTCAGAGCCCAATATGTCCATTTTGGTTTTTGGGGAAAAAGCCAAAGGAATTTGACTCAGGAAAACACAAAATGTATTTAGAATGATAATGAATCTGCAGATGTGTATTTAAGTGTAATAGTGTTGACTTGGATGTGTGGTGAAGTCTCTTACCAACTGGTTTCTGGTCGGCAGGTCGCTCAAGCTGTCTGAAAACACTGTATTTGTCTCCGATATCTAGAACAGAACAAAAAAAAAAGAGTGTGAATCAGTATGACCAAAAACCAACACATTTATCAGACAGACAGGCATTTATGAAATTTTCTATGGTATATTTTTCTGTAGGTATTGTCCAAAAAACAAAAACTGTTAGTTTATAAGTAGATAAAAATATCTCCATAGAACTGCATGTGCTCATGACTAAAAGTTGCAGTAGGGAACCTTCAGGGATCAATGCTGGTCTAGAAGTTATAAAATATTGTATTAGGTGGATAGGAAAGGATACTATTTCGCAATCTACAAAACAGTCAAGTCTTGGTTAAATGTGTGGAAATCCATCCCAGTGAGGGGACACCTGAGGTGATGGTTTCACTCTATTTGCTCACTATCTAACTATAACGCAGCAGGAGGGCTGTCATTCTCAGCCCTGCTGTGCTGGTTTAAACATTGAAGATGATATTTCTGTCCCTTCATAACCCCCTTCATCTTTCTTCTGAAGGTTTTCCTGGCTGGAGAGCAGACAATAAAGCCTATATGAGGTGTACGTGGAAGATACCTGGGGCATGGGATGTAGGCTCTGCAGGCTGATCTACAGACAGCTGCTTGAAGACAGCATACTTATCAGAGGATGTCACAGAAGCGGAGGAGGAACCAGAAACTGGAGTCAGCATGGCAGGTGCACTGCAGGGACACAAGAGTCAGCTATAGTCAGACATCAGGAAGAGTGAGGTTCAACAGCAAAGTTAAATCCCCATAAGCTTGACTGAGCTGATTGAACATTTGCCCAGGGCTCCCAAAGTTTAGAGAGTCACAGTTTTTTGTTAAACCCTTTTTCATCTTTCATAATTTCTACTAGCCATTATAGGGACAATGATGTTGCATCCATGTTTAAACAAGAAAATACTTCATGAAAATATACTCATTCACACTCACGTAAAGGTAGAGAGATGAAAAGGTTGATTTGATCAATACCTACACAAAATAAAAAGCTACAACTGCTAAATAGTTAAGCTTTGCAAAATGACTAGAAAACAGCTGGCTAATTAACATGTTATATTTAATTGTTACAATTCACTTAGAATCATCAGAGTTATGTGGAGGACTTGGCTGAGAGCAGTTGCTGAACCATCATCAAAGCCAAGTCAAGATATAGTCTGGCATATAACTCTCAGTAAAAACACAAATTATTGTTTTCACACTTTTTGTATGGATTAACATGACAGTTTGTGTGTTCTGCTGCTATTGTGAGATACTAAAAGCAAATTTGAGAATACATATAAATATGACTGGACACTGCAAATGTTGCTGATTTGATAACATGCAAGAAGCAAGCAATAACGGAAATCATTAAGCTCATTTTCCAGTGAATGTTCATTTCCTCAAAGCTCTTTCATAGCAGGACAGCTGACAGTAAGATATGCTTGCCACTTCAACTAGCAACCTAACAAGAGCCTTTCAGTCTCACATTTAATTAGACAACTATCTCAGACTGAGGGAAATTCTTGTTACAGTCAGGAGGGTATGTTTTCATAGAGGAGAATTAAAAAACGCCTACAGCACATAGATGTGGGATAGTTCAGCTCAGCTTTCTCTTTGTCTTTCAGTTGATAATTGCCTTTCAGCTCACTCTCAATGAAAGGACAGTTTCTCCATATGAGTGGAAAGTAATATAAAGAAATGAGCTTATCTACTGTCCACTGAAATGAATTCATTAGGAGACGACCCAAACTCATTGTTATTCTGAGGAGGTTATAGTGAGATATTCAGACAATATGTCTGACTGTAAGGCTTCTAAGACAGAAGTATTATGCAGAATAACTCAGCTATAAATAAACCAACCAAGACTGAATATTAAACCCAAAACACTCCAAAAATATAATGAGTGACACTGAAGATATTTAGTTTTTGTATTGTAAACTTTTGGTGGATGTCACCAACTACTATACTGGTTTATACATAGCACTCAGACACTGTACCTGCTTTGTAGCTGAGGTGCTGTGGTGGTGGGGAAACTTCCTCCCGACTCCCCCTGGAACTCAGTGAAAGCCTGGTCTTTTGCTCCTGCCTTTGGAGCCTCCTGGAAGTCCTGGAAGTCATCGTCATCTGTCTTGGTCGCCTGGATCAACAACAGTTATTAAGATGTGAGTTAATGAGTAATTACAGTAATCACTGCAAAAAAACAGTGACCAGGGAAAGGCTGGATCGCAAGCATGTGATACCTGTGCAGGAGGAAAGCTGGCGATGAAGTTAGTGTTTGTGGGCGGATGAGTTGGTGCTGCCGATGTCATGGCCATGACCGGTGGTGTTGGTGAGGGCATGGTCATAGAGACCGGGGTCTGTGTTATCATGGGCTGCTGGTGCTGGGGCATAATAGGGGCCATGGCCATAGTCAGGGCTGGCAGATTGGGCACTGGTGGAGAGGGGAACTGACTGAGGATTTCCACATTCATTGCGGGGAGGCCACTCTGGAACAAAGGAAACAGTTTTCAAGGATTCAACAAAGTGCTATGCTTTTAATTAATACAATAAATAGAATGAAGCCAACAATGAACTGATCCATCTAACAAGTATTGTCTTTGATGCCAAAGCCTAATATATGTTATAACACTGTGCCACAGACCTCACATCAATGAGCCCTATTACAAACTAACTATGGTTTAGGTTGATTCAGGCCTATAGATTTTTCTGTTTCACAAATGTGTATCAGTCCACTACTAAATATAGTACCTGACAAATACACAATTTACTGCCTCTGGGTAACACATGCCAGGAGTGGGGAAGAGAGAAAGTATTGAGACAAGCAGATTGTTGCTTTGGTCTTTTCATTGGATTTTTTTTAGCAATATAAAAAATAATTGAACACCACCTAAAATACTTGCTAATCTAAAATGACGATTTCACCTGTCAAATTAAATAGATAGATAGATATCACATCTTATTGGCTACTTATTATCATTGAACTATGAAAAAATGTTTGCATATAAATTATTCAACACAGTCAAGTTCCTCTGACACCTCCATGTTGTGCTTGTGTTTTGAGGCTCTTGAAGATTTATATCAACAAGGTGTCTTATTATTCCGGTAGCGGTGGCATGCAGTGAGCTGCCTGCAGATTTGCATCCTCCCAGGGGTGGTGGTGACAGGCCCAGGCTGACGATGATAAGAAGTCTCCTGCCAAACTTGGCTGATGTGGACTCAGTCAGTATTTTGCTTAAAACGCTTCACAAGCCCTGGGCTGATTTACCGCGCCGCTTCTTTCTCCCTCTTTCTAGCTAAGCCTGTCTAATTTCAGTGTGGAGTTTGTGGCACAGCTCTGTGGAAGCCACGGGGGCTGATAAGCAAAGCCGTTTTAAGTGGATCATTTATCTAGACTACACTGTTTACCTGCGCCACACCAATTAGTGCAAGTACAGTGTAAAGCTCCTCCTTGGTCAGCATGCCAGGTGTTGTGCGGTTGGCTGAGGCCCAGATTTGCCCCAGTGCTTCCCTCGGAAGACCTGATGACATTAATATCGGGTAGAGCTTGGCTGTGTCTATCCCTGCTGGGGTCATGGTGAACTCATGAATCTTTTTGAACATTTCTAAGGAAAGATAATCAGAAGAAAATATTCATGAATTATAGTATTCAGTATAGTCATTAGTGACATTTCTTTGCAGAATATTTGGTATACTACAGTAGACATTTTCATGTGTAAACATTTACCTGGGACGAGGCTGTCATTGTACGCCCAAGCTGGCAGCATGGGCTGAATGTGCTCTTGGTGTGGGTACACGCCAACACCTGCTGTCAGAGGCGGACACACACACAAACACAGTTAGTTGCTCTACCTAAAGCCTTGTCCAGGCTTACAATTTGCCAAGCATCTTGGCAGCTGAGCCCCTGCTTTGTATCGAACTCGACAAAAATCATACACCTGATGTCTGGCAGGCACGGTGCAGATGTAACGCTCCCCTGCACACTCTGCCATGTCAGACATCTATAAATCAGTCTGTGAGCGATTTCCAGATTTAAGGAGAGGTGAGAAAGGAGACTGCCTTGTAAGGAAAGATAACTAAAAATCGAATTCGACTGCTGACATTGACCTAAATGAACTTTTTTCACACTACAAATAGCTTGAGAAAACATTATTAAAAAAAGCAATTGTTTGTTTGGAGTTCCTAACACATATTCTGTTTACTCAGGCAGACACTATGCACATAATACTCCCATTAGTCTTGGGCAGTTAAATTAATCTAATTACAAATCTCCATGGTCTTCATGATGAGCCTCTATATTTCCCGTGTTGACAGGGAGGACACAGACAAACACATTTCAGCACAAAGGAGTAGCATGCACAATCAGCCTTATGTTTGGGCCCCAGTGGCACCTGCCAATCCATGCGGATCCCTGTTAAACCAAAGCAGTCAGCATGCACCAGAGGTTGTTCTCTGAGAGGGTAGTACATGGCAAGAGAACAGATGGCATCTTATTGAGGCAGCAGGTATTACCCCAGGACCTCGACAGACACAGTCCATTTCCAAAGTGTGTGCAGACAGCAGCAACATAAGAAGGCCCCTCTAATAAGACTGGGCCAGAAGTAACAGAGGAATAAAGCAGGCAGAAATGAGAGCAGAGACTTATGAGATGATGTGAAGACACCAGGGAGGCCACCTCAAATACACAGCGACTCTGTAATAATCTCAAAAGTTGAAGAAAATGTCAAGGTGATTTCATTTTACAGCGATTAGCCTACGATAGTAAGATGCCCGGTCAAGAATCTGTCATAAACCAATTATGACCCACAGAAATAGAAACAGATTAAGTTTGTGCAGAAGGTGCAGAATTATTTTGTTAAGTGAGATTATTTCCCTGCGAAAGAAAAAAGAAAACTCCCTTGATTGTGTGTTAATGCTGCAGCAAAGTAATGGAGAGAAGAAGCAGCTACAAAGTCTAATAAACAGGCACTTCTCTCACCACTTTCTCTACTGGTTTGGGAGGAAGGATCGACAGCTGATGGAGACACGCTGGGTGCTGAGACTGGGGCCTCAGGTACCTTTGCAGTGACGAAGACAGAACTCAAGTCCTTGGGGGCCACAGCCCAGTTCCTTGCTTTAGTGCTGGATTGAAACTGGGTGGAAACTTTAGCTCTAGTGCCCATTTCAGCCAAACTCTGCCTGGATTTAAAGCTAACCTGGGCCATCTTATCAGCAGTAAGATCACATGAGGAGAATAGCTTCTCTTCCAAGGACGGGCCTAGAGGGGTGAATGAGGAACAAGCTTCTTTATAACACAAACTAGCTGGGAATGTACCAAGCTGTTGTATACAACTCTTAACAAAGCATCTGCTGTTGAATGTAAAAAAAAAAAAATTACAATCTGTCATTTTATATGTGAGAAACGTCAATGTTAAATCTTAACTTGTAGCGACTAAAATTCATTGAAAAGTGATTGAAGCAGCTAATAATACTCATTAAAGGTTTCTTGATTTGTAGGCAGTTTTTTTATGTCTTCCACAAGTACACACCGGTATATTCAGATGATAGAATGTAGTCCTACCAACTATGTCATGGCCCTTTCACACACACAACGCAATTTGCGCTGCACTTGCACCTGCGTAGCAGTGGACAGAGCAAAAGAGTTTTCAAAACTGCTCGCGGGACTACATCAGCACATATACCTTGTTTTTATATATTCTGCAGAAAGCAATACCTTTTTGCCACATTCACTAATAATTAAGGCCATCATCAGACCTTATTTAATGTTACTTGATAAGAAAAGCAATGTCTTGCACTCCTGATAAAATCTGCAGCAGGCTTTGTTAGTATCACCATTTTATATTTGTTTAATGTCACACATTATTTTCTGCACTACATGCAAATTATATATGAATCATGTTGATTTTTTATAGACTGCCTCAGGTCTCTATTCTGCTCTATCAGCGACAAGCAATCCTGACACCATCTAATCTGCTTATTCCAGATGTTAAACAACTAGGCCAGAAATGTCTCAGAGAATTGGGGGCGACACTGGACTTTTCCCTGGACAGGAGGTGATCTCACCGTACTGTCCAGGTGTGTCCATGGTGTGGAGACTAAGAGCCAACACACGACAAACGAGAGTGACAATCTTCTCTAAAAGCACAAATCATACACTGATTAATTAAACTACTTCTTATTTAAAAACCTACTAATATTCTCTTTAAGGATGAAGTACATTGGGTGTCTTATTTATTCTACCTTCTTGTTTCCCTAGTTTGGAGTGTCTGATATCTTTTAAAGTGTAGGTCATGAGGCCATCTGCCATGCTGGTGGCATGCTCTCACACACAATGCAGGCCAAGGCCAACCCAAAATCCAGAGGTAAAAATTAAAAGATTCAGCATCAGCAATAATAGGAACACTATGAATAAAAAAAATGGTTGAGTGTAAATTATGGGGATGGTAGGGGAGGTGTCAACAAAGCAAAAGAAGAGTTACCTTGAAATGTAGATTGGGAGCTGGTGTTGACAGCACAGTGTTGGGAGGCAGTGGGAACGGACACAGAGGCAGGGAGGGACTGAGGGAGGGATTGTGAGGAGGGGAACGAAGGATGAATTTGCTCTTGAGAGGAGATGTGGACGCTGGAGGAAGGGATAGTGTTTATAGGACCCTGAACAAAGTCACTAAACTCATCGTCCTCAGAGGAACCTGTCTTAGGGGCAGGGGATGCAGGCTGGACGTGAGCCTGAGAGGAAAGGCCAAAGGTGGATGAAGAGGAGGGTGGAGAGAAGGAAGCTGGGGTATCTAAAGGCCCCTGAAAGTCACTAAACTCATCATTGTCCTCAGACAAAGCTGGAGGGAGTGAGTGAGTGGAGACAGACGGGTGTGATGGCGATGAGTCTGCAAAAATGAAGAAATAATGATGATGGCACAACACATGACACACGCTACAATGGAGAATGAATTAAGGGCTGCACATTGCAACAGTGAACCACTATTTTATGCAAGAACAGAAATTGAGGACCTACAATTTCAAAGTTTTTCTAAACAGTTTGACTAATAATCAGTATTTCATCACCAGAATTGCTTTAGAGCAGAGGTTCCAAAACTGGGAGTCAGGACTCTGGACTGGATCAAAACATCAAGAAAATCTTTGCTTCATGTTAAATGCTCTATGAACGAAAAGGTTAGGAACAAGGGTTTCCCTATGTTGCCTATGGCCCTCTGCTGCCGCTGCTTCAGGATCATGGCAGACGCACAGTGCTGTATTACCCTGCCATACTGTATATCCTAAATCCCCAACTAAACACCAGCACTTATCAGAAGTCCTGACTATTAGGACCTGAACAGTACTGAAGTTTAGTTTGTGTTTGTATGAGTCGCTCAAGACTTTATGAGACACGCATTTAACCACAAAAAAATAATGTTTTTGTTTGTGTGAAGAGGGGAAGAGATACGTGCACACATGTTCCTGCAGACATGAGGGAAGGTTTCACCACAGACAATGACGCAACCTGGTGCTTTAACTCATTGTTGCAAAAGATGCAATGCCCCATTTATCCAGGAACAGTCCACCCCTGCTGCTAGCACTAGTAACCTCTGCTCTTAAGAATCAATCCTTGTTATGTTACTGAAAAATCACTCAAAAGTGACAGTGACAATACAGACTGAAATAATATAAAGAAACAAAAATGCATGTTGTATACTACAGAAATTCCCAAACATCGCTCTTCTGGCTGCTGGCTGGGTGACCATCATGCTGACCTGTCTCTAATCCAATTAATCTCAGACAAAGGTATTAGAGTTACAGACAGCAGATCTGTTGATGGGGAGCCACTACATGAAAAATCCCAAGGATTACGACTAAAAGCATTCAAGTGACTCTACCTGGCTTCTTTGTCTGTGATGATGGAGTGGGGTGCATTTTCGCATCCCTGCTGAAGCCGTCGAGGTTTCCTTTGATTGCCTCTAAGGCATCATCACGACTCTTCTCCCCTGTCTGAGGACAACACAGCAGTGAATCAAGAGCCCAGAGAGTTTGAAAGGTGAGAAGTAGATATGTGAGAAAAACAGTAAGATAATCATAATGTGCAGAGAGACTCACCTTGGGTTTGACACTGCTGAGCAGCCTCAGCTTCTGTTTCTGCTCCTCAAACTGTCTTCTTTTCCTGTCTTCCTCCAGCATCTTCTGCTGCTGCTCCAGACGCTTTCTAAACAGCAAGAAGAGTACATACATCATTTGTAGAGACAAACATTTAATATTCCAAAAGTCAAAACATAATTGATTTCAATCTAATCTATACATTGAGGGGAATAAAGTGAATATTAATTGGTCTTTGTCAGAGTTAATGCATCCCTCAAGCCATTTAGCTTTATATATAAACATTTGTAAAATTGTAGAAGTATTTATTAGCATTTTTGCCTGAGGGGAGAGATGAGACCTAAACCAGGGCTCCAGAGTGCGACCATTTATAAACCATATTAGGCAAAGCAGGTCTTACGCACAGTTTCCATGATATTAGTATAAAGAAGTCTTACTGGTGCTCCTCAGCCATTTGTTTCTGCATGTCAGCAGTGTACTGGGGTCCAGCAGGTCTCATACCCATAAACTGTGGCTGACCTAAAAACTGCATACCGGGGGTCTGCAACCCAATTGCCATCCCGCCCTGTCAGGACAAAAACACAAACAGAGATATAAAAGAGCAGTTCAGAAATCCAGCATTCATATCGTTAAACTGCTTTTACTTTATTTTGAAGATAAGAAGGGAAGGGATTAAAGAACCTTGTTAATGGTGATAATGGTGATAATGATGAATAATTATGTTTAAAACAGTGTGACTGGATTCTTTTGGACACAAGCAGGGTCATGAGGCACTGTAAAGGCCTCTACTTGAATGAAGTCAATTAAATCAGTACAGTATTTATGTATTTATTACTGGAAGCCCACATTTACGTTTAAAGTTTGTTAAAATGCAGTAAACGCAGACATTCCAGGAACTAAAATGGTCTATTTTGCCCTCAAAATAATGGAAAGACAAACACAGCATTTAGAAGCTCAATGAAACTCTACAAACCTATTACAGACACAGAATCTCACCTGCATAGGCATGGCTCCTTGGGTCATCTGACCCCCAAAGTTCATTCCCATCATCCCCTGCATGTTAGGTTGCATAACTGGAATGATAGGGAAGCCCTGCTGTTGCTGCTGTTGCTGCTGTTGCTGCTGCTGCTGCTGTTGTTGTTGCTGCTGCTGCTGCTGCTGCTGCTGTTGCTGCATGGGCACCAGGCCTGGAGAAACACACACAGATGCTACTATTTGAAGCATGACAGTATGTCTAGTACTGTGAGGAAAAGTTCATAAAAAATGTGGAGTTTGGAAACTAGAATCTGGTTATGATACAGTACTGCAAATCCATTTCCTGTACAGCTGGAAAAAGTATGTAACAGCTTGGAATAAAACAAAAGGAGAGGATAAGAAGTAGTGAAAATTTGTAATTTTCACAGATGCTGTGTAAGCTGTCAGTCAGAGCTGAGCAGCCAGCTCCTACTGGAGCCTCAAGATGATTCACTAAGTTTGGGCTCAACCGGCATGAATAAATGGGCCGTTTAGGAGGCTGCAGATATTCTAATTTGTCTGACTAAAATGACATTGTTAACGGGAGCATGTAATGATGCCTGAGAGATGCTTGTCCCAGTGGTGTGTTACTGCAAAGTCAACAGCCTAAATCTAACGCACAGCTTAATGACGAAATCAGTGATTCAGTATCTGCAGCAGTCTTTTTTACACTAAAATGGTTTTACAACATTGTAAAACATCAAGGCTTTTTAATAAAAAAATAATCATATCTCTAACTTAAAAAAAAAAAATTCCCTCAAAATTAGAGCCCAACTGATAAAAGTTGAGTAATATGATCCATCACAGACATTTATGCAACTGCATTTATGTTTGCTGATATCAAACTTTTACTTTACCAAAAAACAAATCATAGTGTGTTATAATTATTTACTTTTTAGATGTTAACAATGATCAATACAATGTTTACAAAGATGTTAACAAAGAAGGAAAGATAATAAATAATTTATTTTCTTCTATCAAAGTTCTATTTATTTGGTTGTATTTGTGTTTTTTATTTAGTTATTCTTTGGGGGGGGAGAATATATATATATATATATATATATATATATATATATATACAATTAATTTAAACAAATTCTAATAATAATATTTGCATCGGAACCAAATAATTCATATCAGTCAGGCTCTACTCCAGATATACTGACATTTAAAACTCAAATGCTATCTCACTGACTACAGTGAACTTCCCATTTATTTGGTCAGCTTCTGATGAAACATTTTAAACTTTTGTCAACGTTTGAGTGACTCACCTTGTGGTGGTCCCAAGCCCCCTCCAACAGGATACATAAAACTATAGGAGGGAAAAAAAACACAAGTTATGAGATTCATAGACATAAAAAGAGTTATACCCTCTGAAGCCATTATGAGGCCATTACTGCATCAGTAATAGTTTTTTTCACAGTTGCAAGTGAAACACTAAAACATTTTAGTCAATGAGATGTGAAACCTTTTGACAAAAGGTTATTTTTCAGAGCTATAAACTGTGCTATTGAGTATTTGAGTGTAAATACAAGTCTGTTCTGTAGCTACTTTGGATCTGGATTAAGTCGAAATGACTCAACTGAACATAAAATAATAGCCTTGTTTGATATTGTTAATTGTGAAACTACACGATTATATACATTTATGTTTGATAATGGCTTGCTGTTCAGTTTGTGACATTTTCTTCATCATTTACTGGTTCATTAACTCTGACCGCATCTGAAAGAGTGTTATCATGCTGTTGCTGTAATTTATTCTCCAAACATCACATTATTAAAAACTGCTTTGACTACAAAAACTAAATCTAACAGGAAAAAAAGGAAAATATATGCAGTATAAGTTTGTTGTCAGCAAAACCCGGCAGATACCGAACGAGCCAGGAGAGAGAACAGTAGTTTTGCATTACTTAGCAGATTCAGGCTGAATTTTCTGACTGATCCATTCACAATACGCCAAAAAGCACCAAAACTGGTGCAGTTTAGTTTCCCCAGGCGACTTGGACTCTGTCACTGGGTCTGTGCTGAGAAATGGGCCTTTAGTCAGAAGTAGTCTCAAAAAGTCGGCCAAGTCTGTCCCTCGCCGGAGCCAACCCACACAGGCCTTCAGCTATTTGTCAAATAACTTCTCACAGCTCGGTTCTTCAGGCGGGGACTGATGATGCAGAAACAAACAGAGCAATAAGCCAGCTGGGCCTTTGGTGCCTGTGACTGCAAGCAGAATTTTATCCTCACTAATCCAATAGGTGAGTGACATTGTAATAAGCAGGGAACTAACTGGGAGCAAGTATAAGACAATTATTAACTCTCCATGACATATACAGCATAGCTTTGATTTGGATTTTTCATTACAAACAAAGTGTTACTTTTTAGTATTAAAAAGTGCCCTATGGCTTATTTTAATGATTACTTTCATCATCAATTAACCCTTTTGATTATTTTTCAATTGATCAAATATTTATTTCATTCTATTATTTATTTTTACAATTTCCCAGACTTAATTTTAACATTATCTTATTATTGATTCCAAATAACCAACCCCGTGGCACTCACATATGAGAAGCTGGTACCAGAAGGTTTTTTGGTTAATTTGCTAATAGATCAATGACTTAATCAATTTTCTGTGAGTCAGCTTCTTTCAATCCATTTTATAGCTTTCACTGCAACACAATATCTATATATGAGCAGAAAAGCTAAATAAACTTAAAAGCTTCTATTAATAATGAGAAAGTGGAATTTGAAGAAATGTTTACACTGAATTAATGAATTAGCAACATACTTGACTGACAATTTGTTTCAGCTCTAATTGAATAAGAGAATATAAAAACCTTTACATGGGCATCTCTCATGAGACAATATTGGTTGCACTAAAACAACACATGAACGAAAGTGATATAACGCTTCACAAAATACTGGTGTTGTACGACTGGGTTCGTAATGCTCAAATCAGAGGATTTCTCACATCTGCTCCCTGTAAGATTTGCAGCTTAAAAAAAAGCTTTTACAGGAGCGCTGTGGCATTTCTGCCCGCCGTCCTGCTGCAAATATCAGGTCATGGCTGAGCAGATTAACATAGAGGGGATAAGCAGTGATAGCATCTGTGTCCGACAGACAGGCCCGTGCATTGTAGAAAGACCTGTAATCAACTAACAAGTCACCATGAAAGCTGCGAGACAGAAGGCAGGGTGGGGAGGGGTTCGCTAAAATTACTTTTTGTTTATTCTGAAACAGCTCTTTTAGTGGATTATACTGTAGATAAAACAAGTACTAGGCTTTCACTGAACCCATTTTATATCTGTAAGATGAAACAATTTGTTTTTTAGACTTAATAATTGTTCTGCTTGATTATTAACAGTTTTTACATCTATTTACCATTTTACATTTTGGTCAATAACTAAACAAATAGATAATCAGGATATCAGGATATTTATGAAATTATAAGCTTTAACACAATACAATATCTAATTTGCATTTGAGCTGTAACTAACATTTGCCTGTAATAATTTAAAAGTTGACATATTCAGACGTTGACAATATTATATTTCCAGCAATAAATCCAACTTGGAAATGTCAGCAGTTAAAAAACTCTCCCCACAGTAATACAATCTTGACTAATGGGATAATACAATTGGACATCATGTGACATTCAGGAGGTCAGCTGTCTGATGAATGATGTAATCATATGGCCTATCGGAGACAGACAAATCTGTATGGAGACATCATCGCCTCATCATATTGATGTCATGCATCTCTGTCACACTCTCCAGGAGGAAGGTACAACCTCTGCAACTTTGACTCACTAACTTGTCTTCTTTATATGTTTTCATAACACTGATATATCCAATACAGAGGTTACTACAGCTGTCATGCAGGTTTTTAAAAGCTGCACCACTACTCCACCTCCTGGATCTAGACCGAAACTATCAATACCATTGTGTCTTTCCATTA